TGTCTTGAAACTATTTAATTAAATCAATAGGGTCAAGTGGTAAATATTTTGACCCGCGTCTGATTAGTGAAGAAAGCCCCCGGGGCACACAAAAGATCGCCTCCGGACCCGCATGCTCCATCCGATCCGATCTGGATGGACTCTCAGATCCGATCTGGAGACTTAACCGAGAGATCCCATCTTTCCATCTTCCCGTCTTCCAGGCAAACTGGGCTGTCGTCTGCCGTGCCACAAATTCATTCGCTTAATTGAATGAATGGCGTTTTAAACGGGAAATTAAGCGCATGACTTGAGATGACTCGACTCTGCCGGATAGTACCTCCACTTCCACAGATCTCCGGCTGTCCAGGAGTTCGGCTTCGACTTCGACTTCGACTTTGGGTTCGGGTTCGGGTTCAATTGTCAATTGAACGGAAGCAGCGTTTTCTCAACTTTGACTCGGCGGTTTCTTGGAAAGCTTTCGGTGCGTTCCGCTCTCGGTTTTCGATCCCGCTGATGTGAGCCACTTGTGTGGCACATTTGCCCAACAGCTAACAAGGTACTTCACAAGGTCGACTGCGGCGAGGGTTGGCCAAGGGGGAGGGGATTCACCCCCAACGAGAGGGCAAAGTTCAGCTGCCGTGACCAAAAAATGACTAAGAAAGTTGGTAAAAAATAAGGGTAATGTTGAGACTAAGAAATACTCAGTAATTCAAGGGGTTAAGTTGAGATTATTATGTACCCAGTATGTAGTCAGCAATAGATGTATTAAAAATTCCCTAAAATGTAATTCAGTTCTTAACATAAAGTACCCCTACACAGATAACTCTGGCTAGCATAACTTTGTAGCTTCTTGCTGTTGAAAAATGTGTTCCCATAATATGTTAAATGACCAGCTAAGGTTCCCACAATCCGCATATACCCCGCACTTATTTGGGTTAAGTACGCGCCACCGAAAAGAGAGTCAACAAGGCGACGCCGTTCGACCTGGATGTGAAAAGCAAATGGCTTTTGGCTGGGACGGCGTTGCGCCTCCGAGTTTGCGGCTGCCACGACTGCCACGACTGCCACGGTGGCAGACACTTAACTTCAATTGAAATCAGTCAATTGGAATCAATGAGTCCATTTCGTCTGTTTTCCAACACCGTAAAACGCACGGAGCCAACGTATTGAAACAATCGTTTTGTTTCTCACACACACAACTGCATACAAAGGGAAAAGATATAGAGGTTGGGCAGCCAGGATCGAGTTTATGCGCCTTTTTAAGTGCTCAAGTGTTTTGGCCTGCCAAATGCACCGAAAGCTTTCCCAGGAAATTACGGAAAAGGATATGGGATGCGGATTCACTTGGGCAGCTGCAAGTGCCTCCCGTTCCCAAAGTCACTTCCTTGCACAACCACAATTGTTTTGCCTATGAAAATATTATCCTTGCTCTTTGTTCGCCTCGTATTACCCGGGACTTATTGGCCAACTTCTGGCCAGCTGCCCAGATTAGGAACATTGGAACATTGGAAATCCGAGGTGTAGGCTTACTGATCCCTTGACCTTTTCTCCTGCAGATGTCCTAGATAGCTGTTGCTAAACATTCGAAGATGTTGGGCAACTGCCAGTTGCGATTTTTTGGCATAATCCCCAAGGAGTGAGTTATCCTCTAAATGGGAGAGCAGTTCATCGAATTAGGCCATTCAGTAAGTGATATTTTGCGGGAAAGGTTGCTGTGGTTGCAAAGAGAAAGATTATCAAGCGATCCAATTGTTGTCTAATATGTCTGGCCTCAATGAAAAAGCAGATCACAAGATCCTCAAGTGTTGGGTTAAGGTCTTACAAAGGGTAGAGGGTATTACGAGTTACTCATGGGTTAACAACGCGAAAGTGCCAATCATCATACAAAAGAAAAGGATACATTGAAGCAAAGTAAAGATAATACCCTCCTTTTATAACATTATATATTTAACATCTTGAAAAATTATTTAAGAAACTACTTAAAAAAAATGTAGATAATAAAAATCGAATTCATATAGAAACCTTTTATTGAAATGAACAGATAGGAATTCGTTTATCGCCACCGCAAAACTTAAATGCATGAAACGAGGGAGTATGAATGCCATTCCAATTTCAAGACTGGCTTAAACATCAAGTCACGCCCTCAAAAGCGACCACACCCCCAAGAGACAGCCCAACATCATGAGCAATGGAAAATGTATAAAACAAAAACACGACAAGATAAAACCACATAAAAAGCGGCAGCCGCCGAAGTCATGAATTACAATGCTTAAAGTCGCTCATTAGGAACTAAAAATTTGTAAACTTCAGCCGATAAAGATCTCCTCGAAAGCAGCGACAGTCAGACATGGCTAACGCGAACAATGGCCGCGGTAAAAATAGCGGCAGGCGAAGAAAGAGCGTGTGGAAATAATTTGGTTACAATTAAATAACAAAAGAATTTGTTTGGCAACTCTTGTGCGCTTTTTGGCCAACAACGTATGCCCATTATGGCCACCACCTGCTCCGCCCCCCGCCCCCCGCCCCTGGCGGCATTACAAAGTACTGTACTCCCCCCTATGGGCTCCTCCGACTCCATTGTCCAATTGTGAGGCTCAGCTCCAGCATTCAGCTGTCCCGCTCCAGATTAAGCCGCGACTATAATTAAGAGCGGAACGGTCAGCGCAGGACTGGAAATCGGGGAGCGGGCGACTGTTTACCATAACAATGAGCCGACTGTCGGGAAAACACCTTTGCTTGCACTGGAAAAAAAAGGTGGTAGGATGTCCAACTGAACTTATGAATACTGCCCAGAAGAAACTAAAAAGAATTCTATGATTTTATTGAGAGAGATTTTGATTGTATTTGAGATTTAAAGAGATATTAACTTAAAATAACATTAAATATATAATTTATTTTTTTTGTAAAATGAATTTATTCCCTGTGCATCTGGAAGAAAGAAAATTTTTGTCGCTGGCCTGGTCAGGTGTTAATGTCTGTGTTTACGGGCCGAGTGAATAGGGCCGACTCGGTATACGAGGTGTGCAATTATCGTCATTAGTCCCCCATCCGAAACCCCTTCCCCGTCCATCGTTCCCCCTCCTTCGATCCACCATTGTTCTTCTGACGCTCGCCGCTTTAGTTGCGGCTTGTTGTGTATCGATGTTGCATGCTATAATTTCGAAAATAATAAAATGATTTCTTCATGCCAGTCACAGTTGCGCTGCACACACATCATAATCATCGCGAGGACCCATCGCCCTCGTCATTATGCTGGCTCTGGCCACGATGATCATCGGTCTCGCCTCATCCAATTACTACAGTTTAGCCATGCCACAAGTCAAACAAAAGATCCCAGGCCTGTCAGACTCCCGTCAGAGGTTCTCCTCAGCTGGCTGCCTTTTAAAGGTTGCCCAAAATTGGGGTTGAGTGGGTAGCTCGCGGCGTTTGTCGGAGGACCGAGGTGTTAATAAGTGGGTTGGCTTTTCCAGAACCGTAATTTTTTAAGTATGTCAAGAAATGCATGGATATGCTTTCCTATTTTCATAATACTCTCTTGTATAAAAACTGGTAAATACCAACCTCTATGTATTAGTTGCAACACCACTTTCATTGGCAACTCCTACTCGTCTAATGGGCTAATCAAGAGCATTACAAAATCCACAACTAACTGGCGCCACATTCAATCTAAATCAGAGTTAGCGCGTCGCTCGGCGCTCTTTGCGACACAAAGTTTCTTGAACTTAGGCCCCAGACGAACAAACCCAGAGCCAGAGATCTGGCGAGTTAATTGAGTAAACTGCCTGTGACATCAGCGATAGTGAGCGCAATCGGCGGAATATAGGGATAATTCCGAGATTCCGAGATGTTTATACAGACAATAATCCGGCGCGCAAGGCGAATGAATTGAAGAAATGGGGAGTATGGATGGGGGGATGGGGGGAATGGGGAATGTCTGGGCCTCCTGAGAGAGTCTTACGTGGAAAAGAGACAAACAAATAAATTTACTTTGATTGAATAATGGCCGCATAATTGGCAACTTGAATGGAATTGAGTAGCAGGCAAAACGCAATTGGAAACTGTAACAACAAATGCAGTTCGCAGGAACACGAGTACTAACTAAGTGAATTGGATAATCTCATTCGCATTCCCAATCCCATTCGCTGAACAGCAGTCGTCTAAGATATTCGCATAGCCTCAATTGAAATGTGCAACTGAGAAACGTCAGGCGGCAATTGTCGTCTAGATGGATGCGAATATCACGCATACGCCCCGTTAAGCGTAAGGTGCAGTTGCAGTTGCCAGCCGCAGTTTGTTAACCCCTGGGCCACCGATGAATCACCTCCGATATTCTGGGCAAGTGAGTGAGCAAGTGGATCGGTCGAAAGATCGAACTGCAGTCAGGGTGCGCCAGACACCGACTAAGAATTATGAGTGGTTATTAAGCGCGGGCCAGAGAACTTCGTTTTAATTTCTTCTAATAAATGACACTTGGCTAGGAATCGCGCCTGGCGCCATTAAATGAGTCAGTACTCTGCAAAAATCTATGGCAGTGATATAGCTTATATCACATGATAATATTCCAATGAATTGCCGAGGATGATAATAAGTAACATGAGCAACATTAGCAGAAATCAGCAGAAATTGTTCATTTAAACACATCGAACTAGTATTATTTTTAGCAGGAAATGGGACAAGAAGGCATCGCGACTACTAAGCAAAAATCAAAGATAGTTGATTAATAAAACAATTTCATTTCCTTCTATGTAAATATTGTCGTGTGCGCAGGAATGTAATTTTAATTGTCACTTGACTGTGGCTTTCAGCGCAACTTTTACAACTGCAATAACTGCATATGCACACATACACATACATGAGTTTGTAGGTGCGTCTGTGAGTTATTAAGGACTTCCGGTTTGTCCGATTGCCGACAAGTTTGTCGCGACAACAGATTCATTTAGCGGCCACTGCAGTTCAATTTAACACCCGGCGGCACAAACAATTCCCAAGCTCCCCCGCAGATATTATTAATTTACGCATTTCTGTTTTTCAATTTTATTTCAATAGAATTTTAATTGGTTTCTGTTCTCGTCGCTTCGTTTGGTGTCTAAATATACAATAATATATAAATTAAATAGTGCTTAGTTCTTTGCCTGCAGCGCTTAAGTATCGATAATCATTAATCGAATTATACACATATATATCGTGGATATGTGACAACAAGTTACCAACTCAGAAACACTCGCGTGGAAAAATCTTTGCAGAGTTACTTTGAATCAGGTTTTCAGCGGACTGAATTCGCAGCAATAAAATGTATTTTTATAACATTTTCAAAGTGCTATAAATCAGCTTTGGATGGGTTTTCTTCTTAATGATGACGGAAAATAATTTAAAACGGAATAAATACTTGCAAGCTTGTTGCTTAACATATATCCTGCTGCTTGAACAAACAATTTTGTGTCAAAATCGAAGTAAATCAATGGAGTTTTCCTGACTCTGCAAAGGTTTCTCGTGAATCCGGTTAACCGAATATTCTTTGAGTTTCCCCCCTCTATTTCCCTCTATTTACAAGCGTCTAGCGCCTCAGTCGCGGCTATATCTATGTACAGTGAATACTTATGGCTAAGCAACTTCTCATCCCCATCCTGCCGAGAATGGGATCCTTCCCTCGGAAATCTTCAGCTGTTGCGGGAGACAACGGTGACGGGTTTGATGAGCGGCTGAGGCTGAGGCGAGGGGCCCGGCGACTCCCCCTCCGCCCCCCTGCAGGTGGGCGGGCGGCGAGAGGGGCGGCTGCCCCACCAGGTGGCCGTGGAGAGGCGGGGGCTGTGCCGCCGAAGCGGCTGCCACCGAGAGCTGCCGCTGGTGGGCGGCGAGGGCGGCGGCTGCCGCGTGCTGGTGCAACAGCTGCTGGTACTGCAATCGCTGGTAGAGTTCGCTGCTCGAGGGCGGGGCCACAAAGGGGGGCGGCGGACCGGGGGGCGCCGCCAGCCCCGGCAACCCCGCCCCCTGGTGCGGCGGCGGCTGCAGGGCCGGGTGTCCGCCCGGTCCGCCCTTGGGGGCGAAGGGGTTGTACCGCTGGTACATGCTGGCCAGCAGGCTGGGCGCCGAGGGCGGGTAGGTGAGGAACTGGCCGAACTGCGGGTAGGCGGCCAATCCCGGGAACATGGGTCCGATCAGGGACCGCTTGAAGGCCGCCAGGCGGGGAGCGCGAGGCCGCCGTCGTCCGCCGGCGCAGCTTGCCCGTGGAGCCGCCGATGAAGACGTCCTCGGCGGAGGGATCGAGCATCCAGTAGTTGCCCTTGCCGGGGTCGTCGTAGTGGCGCGGCACCTTCACGAAGCACTTGTTGAGGCTCAGGTTGTGCCGGATGGAGTTCTGCCAGCCCTGCTTGTTGTCCCGGTAGTACGGGTGGTTGGTCATGATGTACTCGTAGATCCCGTTCAGGGTGAGCCGCTTCTCCTGGCTCTGCCGGATGGCCATCATGATGAGGGCGTTGTAGCTGTACGGCGGCTTCTCGTTGCCCTTCTTGTCCTTCTCCGGCTTGCCTCCTCCCTCCCCGGACTTGCTCTCCGCGTCGCCATCGGTGGTCTCCCCATCGCACTCGACATCCTCCTCGGCAAACTCCTCATCTGCCTCCTCCGCGTCGCTCTCGTTGGGATTGGCGGCGGGCGCCGGCGACATGGAGGTCACGTCCAGGTCAGACTCGGGATCGCTCTCGGGATCCTGGTCCTCGGATCCCCAGGTGTTGGCGCCCAGGCTGTTGTTGTTGTGGTTGGGCGGGAACTTCGCCGGCGACTTCTTCTCCCCCTCCTCCTCCTCCTCCTGGTCGTCGTGGTGCTCCAGGGTCTCCGGCAGGATGGCGTTGATGGAGAAGCTGGACTTCAGGTGCGGCGTCCTGGCCATCTTCATCAGGTTGGTGAGGTTCAGCCCGACGGGATGGGGGCTCTGGAGCGGATGCGGATGCGTATGCGGATGGGTGGTGGGCGGCAGCGGGTGGTGGTGGTGGTGCTGGAAGTGGGGGCTGTGGGCGCTGATCTCGCTGGACTGCAAGCCTTCCTCGATCTTCACCATGTTGTCCGGGTCGGATGAATCAACAGCTCCACATTGCCTTGGATGCAGTGGCTTGTAAATATTGTGTTTTATTTATGCTTATATGTGTTTTCAGAGATTTGTAATACTTTTCGTTTCTAAAACCTCGTTATTTATTATTTAAACAGAGTCATATTCGTTTATGACTTTTGTGTTGATCTTATCTGCTTCTCAGTTTGGTTTATTTAACTTCGAGTTGATTTGTTTTCCGCTTTCCAATTCACTAGTTTTCAAATTGGCCCTTTCGTTCAGTTCTCTCGTTACGTTCAGTTTTACCGACGCTCGGCGATAATACTCGGCCCACAATAACACACGATTCCACGTCCGCTGCTCTGGGGCTTTCTGTGTAGACTAAAAACGAGAATTCCAATAATTCCCAATCGCAGTCGGTCCGGTTTTTTCGAGCAGGGTCTCTTGTAAGGTAACCTCGGGGGTGGTTCTCCAACCGACCAATCAGCGCTGTGGAACGAACGGTAGGTCGTCCCCTTCGCACTCACTGCCTTCGCAGGCTCTCTTTCCCGCTCAGATTTACTTTTCCCATTCGTTTTGCTAATTGCCGTCGACATGAAACACGAAAAACGCCGACGCTCCGCACACAAACATAAATACAAAGATCATAATATATATAAGGCTAGATGGTGTATGGTATGGGTCACCCTTTTCCGGATTGTGGGTTGCATTTTGATACGCTAGGTCTTTCGTATACTTATTATTCTTTTCCCTTGCTCTTTTATGTCGGCAGCTGCCGTCGATTCGATGTTGGTGTTAATGTATTTCTTGTTTTTACACACAGTTTCCATTATTAATTGTATCCCGGACCGTTGTTGTTGTTATCGTTTCAGTTGCCATTTGCCCCCGTTAATTTTTCGGCGAGTTTGCAAACTATGAACGACAAAAGGGGGTTGCGATACAGTTAGATTTGGACAGAGATTTGTGTGCTCAGATTTTGGATTCTTAAGCCCTTAGGGTATCGTTAAGATCATTCGTCTCAATGGCGGGATTTGTGGAAGGGAGCTTGTAATCATTTCAGTTATAGGTATTGGCAATGGTTATTTATAAATCAACGTTTCTTATCAGTAAACGGATAGTGATACAAACTCTCCCATAAAAAAAAGATGTACTCTTTACCCGATTTACTATTTAGGGAATAAAATGCATCTACTTATGACTATTTTTCAGTTGCCAAGCTTATAAAACAATCTGAATTCATTTCCAATACTAATTGGTAAAAGTTGAATACACAATTGATTGCTATAGTTTATCGAAGACCAACTTTTCAACTGGCGAGCAAATCAAAAGGATCTGACAATTAAATGTAATTTAGTGCAATCAATTTCCTCGAAAGAATTTTCCAGAACGCCTGCAAAAGTGGAATAGCAGCTGCTGGCATTCGCATGGGCCACCGAACACATGCCACATGACCCATCGCTACTATGTGGAGACCCCTCCCTAACCGAAGGGAACCGAACTCAAAGTCGAAATCATTGCTGTAATCATAATAATTGTTTTCACAAATTGGGGGCGTGCACTCGTCGGCCGTGCGATTGGATCCCAAAACACACACGACCACGGGCGAACCCCGCTAAAAGGAGCGGGGGAAAACGTGTTTTACCTGAACGAATCCCATAAAAAAGCCGAAGACCAAGACGACGACGCCATGTTTGTATCGGTATCTGGTTTTGGTGTATCTGTATCCCTGCGGCTGTGTGTGTGTGTGTGGTCTCCACACGAGTGTGCGGTTGTGTGAGCGTGGCCACAATTTATTGGATAACCGCGTGGAGACATGCGCTCTCTCCGCTGGAGAGTGGGGAACTCTCCCCGAGAAGCAGTCCCCACTTTTCTGCTCTGCGGTCAATACAAAATGGCGCCCAACATTCTTCAATTGATTTCTCGTAGCCCCATTGTTTTTTCAGTATTTCAATTAAATTATTTACCATTGTATTTTCTGCCTTGGGTAATTGTTTTGGCTGCTTTGCATGCGACTGTGACGGGGTCTACAGACTAAATGGATGGGCAACTCGGACTAAATAATAGGGGATACTACAAACTGGTAATTATGGGTTTCCTTGGAAATTGTATGTTTGCTCTAAATGCATAATAGAGATGTTTGTTAGGGGAGAAGACACTTTCAAATATTTTATTGATTATGTTATTATACTATGATGTAGTATGCATATTGCTTTGAATTATTTATGAGGTATAAGGGTGGTGTACATAATTCATAAACAATTTATTATGTATAAATAAAATGTTGTATAGGATCAATCATACCATCTTCGTTTATTAGACAAATAGATTAAAAAAACCTGAGTAGTTGTTTGCGATTCATTCTACCGACTTCCCGCTTAAAAATTCAGAAGCAATATACGCGGCAAATCCTTTCGAGAGTATTCAAAATATCAACAACTCAAAACAAACAAACCGAGCAAAGAACCGACTTAGAACTTCCCGACAATCGGGAGTCCGGAAACTACAGAGCGTAATTACCCCGGACAAACAAAACCCATGAAAAACGAGCCTCGAAAAAACCAACTTGTCATTGATCAAAACGCCGAAAAGGAGTCGGATTCGGATTCCGCGCTAGCGAGCGGATTTACATCCCGGGGATTTATGGACACTCATTCGGAGCGGGGGCGAGAGTACTTTACTAATCGGCCAGATTTATAGCAGGCATTTAGTTTTGTTCCAGCCCGAAGACTCGATATTTTGGCAGAAATAGATCCGCGACGCTCAACCCTTTAGGAATTCGCTGGTGCTCAACCCGTTCGCGCCGTAAAGTTGCCACGCCCCCCGGAGGAACGCCTACGCGCAAGTCCTTCCGGGTATATGTGCCGTATTTTGATAGACTCAATGGCAGTTTAACCGCAGGATTAGCTTGTTTGTCCAACGGATCAGCGCGGTCCATGCAAACAAGGCCCTGAATCGCAGGACACTACCTGCGGACCGGGATCGTCTCCTGGGTTTCCGAAGGGGTTAAGGGTTGAGTTCGGGGCTTCCGCTGTTTATATGGTCTGTTTACATGGTGGGAATCCTGCGAGGTCCTACCTACGCCCGCACACCCACTCCGGCTACCGTTTCGAAAGAGTTAAGCAAGGATTAGATCGATCCTCGAAACTCGATCCTCGGAGCTCGCAGCTCGGAACGGGGACTAAGCTTAGCGCGTATTAATCTCATTTCGTGGACCTCAAGCTGAGTCCTCGCCGATGTCCTTGCTCCTCCCTAATCGCCGTCGCTTAGTCATGCAAATATTTTCAGTTTCGGAATTGGTCTTGATTAAGGAAAGGGTTAAACCGGCCGGAGACATCTGATTTCGTTTTAAGCGTTTTCAACAGTTGACAAAATATAATGCACTGAACCAAAAAATGGCTTTACCAAGTATTAAAAAATATAATAATATTTTTAAAAACCCATAAAATCTTTGCCACCTTAAATTTTTACAATTTTCTTTGTATTAGGTTTTTGTAATATGATAGAGATTTAGGATTACAGTTTCCAGCATAAAAAATCGTTTTCCTCTCGCTTTTCGTTGTGACCCGTTTTCAAGGGGATTTTTCCGCCGGGGAAAGGGATCTGGCAAATTGGCCAAATTTTGCCGGAATCACGTTCACGGGTCTTTGGACAGTTCCGGGACTCGGACACACTTGTTACTTTTGTTGTTGTTGCTGTTATCGTGTGCTCCGTTTTGCAAATAAACAGCCAAATGAGTGTCCTAGAGGTTGCCTTGAGTACGGCGAAGGGTGGAGAGGGGAGCGGGGGACCCTTTTGGGGGGTTGCTCCATGGACCAGTGGTCCGTGCTGCGAGAGCATATGGTTTGCAAAACAGCGGGGTGATGAGCCGGAAACCAGGATTAGAAAAAGGAAACTTTCAGCTTCGGTGGTTGTTAAGTGCGCTACAGAAGCGAAATCAATTGAAAGATTCTCTGGAGGAGATTATCTGAGGAGGGAGTGTGAGCATATGGTGGAGTGTTCGATGAAATCAGAGGATTGCTTGACCAAACACTGAGGATAAACACTGTTTGACAGGTTTCCAAACTCGTTTTAAATCTAGATCTTATCATTTCTGATGGCTCGCACTTGTAGTACTGATGTAAAATAAATTTTTGTTATAAGGAACAGATAATTTATATACCTGTTTTATTGCATCTAAAAACAGTAAACATATTTATACTTCAAAGCTGATGTAGCGCACCAAATCGGTCAGAAAGCCCAAAGCTCCCACCCTTTCCAGTGGCTAACACTTGATAATTGTTGACAATGTGTTATAAACTGATTTACACGCATTTAACGAAAAGAGAAACACTGCCAAAACTCACGCAGCGCCAACACCAACATCAAACAACATTAACAACCCACAAACGCTGACAAAAACGGGGCAACGTCAACGCGACACTCGTCAGCGACATCGTTAAGGGCAACCGGCGCACCAGCAGCACTACACAGAGAAAAACAAGAACTGATTACCAAAATTTAAAGTAATATAATAAGGATTTGTATATTTATTTAATTTATATAATTTAGTTAATATGAATTGGTAGATGGTTTCTTGCATATCAAGGGTACCCATGTACTACGGAATCGGAAGCTTTTCTCTCAGTGCAGCAGCGCGAAGAGCAACAGCAGCGACCGCTTAGACGTCGTCGTTAGCGCTGGTGGAAAGGTCAGTGGGAGGGGGTGGTGCGGCAGGGGGTGTGCGCGTGGGGGTGGGGAGGAGTCGCGTGTGCCACGCGAGGGTGGCGCACTCGCTCACTCACACATACGTGCGACATCAAGGGACCCGGACACGAACGCTATGTGGCATGGTGTTATGTGGCGTGGCACGATGTGGTGCCCTCTGATGTGTGTTAATGAACTGCGTAACAATTAACGGCAGCAACAACAAGCGTCAACAAGCGACCGCAGATCAAATAAATATAGCTATATTAAATAACCGAAGCTTTGAATACCCTTCAGTAAGTTTATCAAAATTAAAAGTTGTATTAACAAAATAATCTTGTTATATAAATTACATAATATTATTATGCCTTAAAATGATTCGTTTTGTCTAGTACCTCATCCTTTAGATCCATAAACTTTTTTTAAATCATATTCAAAATCATTATGCATCCACTATTGTGTTTTAAAATACCTATTTCGAATTTCAGCTTTAACAGTTTCCAATTTCTTTATTTTTGTTTTGAACAAAAGGAGTAAAAAGTATAAAAAGATTCGATTTTATTCGATTCAATATACCCCCATTCAAGGGTATAAGAAGTCAGTGGTCACGCGCAAGACTCGAACATTAGAGACCAAAAGTTGCGGGTACTTTCGCGGATTTATTGCTACACATGATCGGTCAGAAGTTGTTTGAAGGCCTGATTATGCTGGTGCTTCCTCAGCTTCCTCTGAGAGATCGGTCAGTTCAGTCGATCGGCTTCTGGGGAACCAGAGCTCCCTCCGCGATCTAAATCAATTTAATTGAGGTCCGAGCTGTGGCCCTTGGCCCGGCTTAATTTGTTGATTGTGTGCCGAGTTGCGTTGTGTTTAGACCATTAGCAGAGTGTATCAGTGTGAAATCTGAGGCAGAACGAGCGGGGATTCCATCAGCCGGATCTTCAGAGCAGTCGGGATGGGGAAGCAATTAGCTAGGAGAGTAGAGGGGGGTTGGATATTAAAATCAGTAGGATATGAAAACGGGTATTAAAAAACATCATGCATGAAACAGCTTTATTTTATAATAATTTGTTCCTAGGAAACTCCTAAAATTGCAAACTTTTCAATTTGTAATAGAGATAGAATAAACACAAATCCATTATTTATATGATTATTATGGTAAGAGGGGCAGCTTTACCATAATTTTGCACAATTTGTTTGAAAGACATCTGCACTTGCAATTAAACGTCGGTTCCGCTGTTCAAGTGCAGGATTGAAAAGTTCAGATGCCAACTTGTCATGCAATCTGACTTTCCTCCGCATCTCAGAATCTTCACCGCAGATGGACACCAACATCCAACATCCGAGTGCGGAGAAGCACCCGGGAGAACTTAACCCCAACCCGGAATGAACCCACTTCCGTTCGGTTCGATTCGTGGGGGGATTTCTTCGATTCAAGTAGTGTTAACTGGACGGGTCGAGTGTTCAAGTGCAATTCGTAATTACTCATTCATAATTTCTGCTTAATTGTGAGCGTATTCCCTCGTATTCTCAATTGAAAGAACTACGCATCGCACTAGGTCCATTCATACTCGTACATTTATTTATTTATTGCCCCTCCGAAGGGAGGAGAGCCGGCGGCGTAAATTAACTTAATTGAAATTCGGGTCAACAGAGAGGCCAAGATAATGAAAGAAACTAATTAAGGAGCACTACAGAACTGCCCACATATAAATGCAGTTGATTGTGGCTTTGCGCATTTGTCGCTCAAATATTTTCAAATATTTTCCCATTCGCTGTGTTTGTATTGCCATTATTTGATTACTGGGCGACTGGGTGACTGGGCGACTCGCGGCCCATGGGTTAACAATTATTGTATTAATAAATATTTGAATGCGCTGCCCTCATCTGAACCCATCAGCTTCTAGTCGCGGAGTGGAGTGGCCGGCCACATCAGTTTCAATTAAAAACACATTTTGTGGTCACTGTGTGGTCGCCACTCTGAGTGGTTCGAATGGTTCGCCGAGGGTTCTCCATGGGTTGGGTTCGATTAAGCCCGGGTTCTGCATAGTTCGGTTCGCATTATTGCTAGGTGACACACCCGATACTTGCGGGGCTTCTGTATATGGCTTTATGATTCCATTTCTGCCGATGGGGGCATGTTCTTCCAGTTGGAGATGATGGAGGGGGAGGTGGACCCTTGTGGTGGCTCATCACGCGAATCGTTGAGCCAATCGATATGGTCAATACTTTCCTTCAGCTGTCGTTCACTGCTTAGTGTCAGCTAACTGGGCTACCAAATGTTAAGGCTCTCATCGTTAGTCCAGACTGATCCAATTACAATGCTTTTGGAACCATACATAAATTAAGAACATTTCACACAGTTATCTAGAATATTAATATCAGTATGAAAATTGCAACCTATTGCGAATTAGCAAAAGCATAATAATTGTAATGTTATGAGCTCTTCTTATACATCCCCTTAGACACTTTTTCTGAAAAGATCTTAAAGCACATATGCTTTCAAACATTTAGTATTTCTGTCTTCAATACAGTCTCCATTTAACTCTATAAAATGTACAATGGAAAGAAGAACAACTGAAACCACGAGTGAAAAAACCACCGGTGATCTTAAGCCTTTGCACACACAAAGCGGCTGAGCAACTAACCGATTATGTATAAAATATTTATGAAATAGACCCGGCCGAGCACTAAGCCGATGGGTTTGAATCATTAGAGCCGAGAAGGAGCACCCAGGAGCAGTCTAAATGGACAAAAAGTGTAGCAAGCGGCACACGCATCCGTGGACCTGAATGTCCTAGATGTCCTGGGTTCTCTGTTATAGAATAGAAGTCCCGGAGCTGCATGCTGGGTAATCAGGACTCGGCATCTGCCTGAGCCTTTGCGTACACTTTCGCAGGACCCACGAGGTTGCTCTTTCGACACCGTAATCCCTGCACTTAACCCGGGTAATAAGATAAGTAAGGCAGATCCTGCTCCTGCTCCTGGTTCTGCTTGTTATCTTTGTAAATTGCATGTCGAGCACTTAAGCCAATAGAAGGAGACTTGGCCAGGACTTTCTTTTCAATTTCCCTCTGCCCGAGCGCGTGTTACTCGCTCAATTTCTCTGCCACTATTCCCATTCCCATTCCGATTCTATTCTATTCTAAAGTGATATAGTTAGGAACCCGGTCCCTCGGACTCGGACTGATTTAGCGACTTAGAGCTTAGAGCTAGTCCCGGGCTTAGGTAAGTGGATTTCCGAATTCAATCCGAATCCAGGGCACAGGCGATGTGTTAAGTATATAATGCGCTCATCCGATCTGTTTCAATAACAAACCGGGCCAACCTAAGCCGGGCAGACCAATAAAACAATGCGGCCGGCAAATTGTTCTATTCGCCTGATCTGCGGATCTGCGGATTGAGCACAACAGTTTCTCTATCTATATGGTATATAAGGGCATGGGCTATATGCAAAACATTTGAATCGATGGCTTAAGGCGTGGGCCAAAACCGATTTAACTCTTGCACCGACCTAAGCTGAGCATAAACCCCAAATATGTACATACACGATGTGGAATCGTGGATGGATTTCGGTTCGAGAAAGGCTTCTTTGGGAAATGCTGAAAAGAGCAGAGGGATGTGTGCTTATATTTAATAAACAATGCAGAAGCATTACAATAATAACATGTACTACAAATGGCAAGAGAAATTTGTTTGTTTCTTAACACCATCCTACATTCTTTACTCAAATAAAATCTCAAGATTTCGTAACCATCGATGTAGTAACCCTAACCTGATTCAAATAATACCTACAAAGTTATTGCACAACTTTCAGCCCAGCAGTTCCCCCACCGTTCTCATCCACATAATGCCCCCCGATCCCCAGCTGACACCTTATAAAACTGCCAGCTAATCGTTTCAATAACATGATTTACCAACACACACACAATAACTTACAATTATTGAATCGGAGAAAAATGGGCGCACAAAATATGATAATTGCTACCGATCGTCTCTCGCCGGAGATAAAATGGGGAAGGCGAACCGGGGGACTGTGGAGGGGGGAGATTAATCTAGTAACGATGATATTAATTATCATTTCGTTTACAAATCGCCTTTGGAAGAAAGAGCGAGAGAGGAGAGTGAAAAGCGCAGTATTTATGATACGGTCGGGGCTCGTTACTCGATTTTTCCCTGTCAATCGAATCGATTCGATGGTGGGAAGCCGGGGGGAAAACTTGTTGATGCTGATGATGCTCCCTTTTTCTCACATCTTTTACTCCAACGCGCACTTAAGCCACGCACACAAACACATGTCAAGTGATCAAAGAACCAGAAGCCGCCGCACCGAGTGAAATTTTCGAAAATGAAGACGTCCACTGAGAACTGAGAACCCGAAAGCAGAAAACACACTGTTTGAGAAATTTCTGAAACAACGCCCAAGTCGTCGGTGCGGTGCGGTGCCCTTTCTACTATTCCATATTCTTTCCACAATTTCCTTAACGTTCTCATCTTTCAAATTGAGGCCTAAGCAAGTCCCGAGTTTTACACTGGGAAAAATTAAGTGGGTTCTTGATAGTTAAGAAAAACGGAACCAAAAAGACGTTAGTTTAACCTTATGGTTCTTCTGATCCTAGTTGTTTCAAAGCAAGGAGCTTCTGCATTTATTTATAGTTATTAATTTTATTTCCTGAATTTGTTCTCTAATTTCTCCAGGGATTTCCCCCAGTGTAGCGCACATATTAGTTGAAAAATTGTATAACAAAAGTTAAGAAAAATGGCCTGCGACTGGGGAGCGAAGTGTGCTCGCTGGACAGAAAAGATCTAGACAATGGCCTGGCTGGGGGTTGAGGGGGCAGGGGGTAGGGATCGGATCGGCCAGGCTATGGGATATCGCATCGGTTCGGATCGTATCGGGATAGGATCGTACCTGCGGTGCCCGGCACATCCCGCACAGCTGGAGTTGTCACTGGGCATGTAAAGAGCCAAACAAAATCGAGTCAATGGGTGATGGCTCATTTCGAGCCTCATCCTCTCGCATTTTTCTGCCTTTTTCGGGAATCATTTTCATGTTTGCCGCCCGGGCTAGCAAACAACTAATTAAGTCATCAGGATGAAAGCCAGTCGGCAGAGGAAGCTGGGTAAATATTTACTGGATGTGACTGGGAACTGGGAACAGCAGCTGGCGGTCAACGAAAGAAGCTGCTGAGTTTTTAAAGAATAATAGTAAATCCGAAAAAGTGCTGTTCAAAATTGTTGAATTGTAACCCATTTTCAATGATAAATAAGAAATCAGTTTTGAATTTTGTTTTTAAATATATTGTTCATTTAATTATTTTTTTTTTTAGTTTTTTGATATTCAATCTTATCCTAAGATATATACAAAAACGGGTGGGCAAAGGCCCTCGGCTGGCAGGAATGGGCCTCACTTTAGGACCCGGAGCCTTGGGACTCAAGAGCTCCTCTTCCATGGCGCAGCCATCGACTTTCCAGGTCGACTCGTTGCAGAGGGCCCCGCGGAAGATGCGAAGTGGTCGAGAAATTGCTAAACTGCAGCATTTAGACGTCACGGGTTCCTCGCGGGGAATGGAGCGGGACGGCGGTGTCCTGGTTCCTCCTTGGTGTGTTGATCCAAAGCGCTGGGCTTGGTTGGGCGCCGGCCGCCCAGGAGCTTAGCTGGAGGGGAACTTGCCGAAGAACTGCATCCGCTGGAAGAGCTCGGCGTTCAGCTGCGGCGGGTAGCCCTGCATCTGGGCGGGATGCGGATGCGGATGCGGATGGGGGTGGTGGCCCTGCGGCGGCGGCGGCGGCGGAGCGGGAGCGGCCTGGTACTGCATCTGCTGGTAGGCGGCCTGGTAGGCGGCGGGGTTCATGCGCTGGTAGAGGGCGGCGGCAGCGGCGGCGGCGGCGAAGGGAACCGCCGGATAGCCGTAGCCCGGGGCGGGAGTGCCGTACGGAGAGGCGGCCATCATGGGCGAGAAGATGGCCTGGCGGTAGGCGGCCAGGCGGGTGCGACTCGCGCCGGGATTCTTGCGGCGCAGCTTGCCCGTGGTCTCGCCAATGAAGACCTCCTCGGCGGAGGGGTCCAGGATCCAGTAGTTGCCCTTGCCGGGGTCGTCGTAGCTGCGCGGGATCTTGGTGAAGCACTTGTTGAGGCTCAGGTTGTGCCGGATGGAGTTCTGCCAGCCGCGCTTGTTCGCCTTGAAGTAGGGGAACCGGTTGATCAGGTACTGGTAGATCCCGTTGAGGGTGAGCCGCTGCTCGGGGCTGTCCTGGATGGCCATCATGATGAGGGCGTTGTAGCTGTAGGGCGGCTTCTTGGTGTCGCCGCCCCCGCTCAGCTTCTGCTTCTTGCTGGGGTTGCCGTCCTCGCTCTCCTGGTCCTCGTCCAGCTGGTCCTCCAGCTCGTCGTCGAACTCCACGTCCAGCTTGTCGTTGTTCTGCGAGGAGAGGCTTTCGGCGGCACTGCTCATCGGGGTACTCGTCCGGCTGGGGCTGTCGAAGTCCTCCGAGGCGGAGAGCTCGCCATCGGAGTTCGAGTACGGGTGCACATACTGGTGATGGTGGTGTTGGAGGAGCACCGGCTCCGTCTTGATGGGTTGCGCCGGGCTGGGCTTCTTGGCCAGAATGGCGTCGATGGAGAAGTTGCTCTTGAATTCCATTTCACTTTTCACCATGTTCGTTCTGTTCTGTTATGTTTGGTATTTAACTATGATTTTTGATTCTCACACACGACTTGGGATCGCTGAGATGGTTGCGCTAAGAAAGTTGGCTTCGAACTGATTCTCTACAGCCCCGAATCGAGCTATTTATAGTGCAACCCCCGGGCGCTCGAACCAAGTCTACACAGAGAGAGCCCGCAGTGCGAAAGAGCGGGTGCGGCCGTAAGCACTGCGAGTGCGAGCGAGAGGGCCTGCTGCTGCGAGAGTAGGTAGGTAGGCAGTTAAACCCTCTTCACAAGGCTCCGCCCTCCATTTTGTGACCATTTTGTTCCACTCGCCTTCCACACTACGCTATTACGGTACACTCGGGCGTATGGAACCTTGTTTGGGAACTTGTGGATGTTTATTTGCAGTCTTTGCTGCTTCGGCGTCAAAATATCCATTACATCCAATCCAAACAGGGTCGATTTTGGGGTTGCTCGCCGTGCGTCCCGTTTGCACTCGCTGTTTTGACTATTAATTGCACTAACGAGCGGGAATAAAAACAAAAACATCCAGTCCGGAAAGCCGCAATTTAATCAGGATGTCTATAATTCATAATGCCATTCGATTGGGAGCCAAGAAGCGTTCGAAAAGTGGGCCATTTCTAATCACTTCAGTGGAGATGAAAATGAGCAGCCTAACAGATATAAACAGATTTAAATAAATATAAATATTTTTATATGACACAATAGGCAATCAATCACAGGTACCGGTAAATTAACAGATGTAGGTATACCAAATCGAATTATGTTAATATCATTTCACTCACTATCCTGGAACATTCTCTTAGGGATTTAGTATTTTATCCACTTATAATTTGACAACGGATTCTGCGAATTAGTTTTCCGACAGTCTGCGAGACTCCTTAAGACTCCTGCTCCTAATCCCGCCCAAACTAGTTCAAGGGTCGCCTTCGTGGTCCGGGGATTATCTGGACGAGATCCTGCCTGGGCTTACGGAACGATTTTCAACAGCTCAATGGAGCTCAGGACGCAGGACTCAGGTAATCCGAAGGGGTTAACCCTTCGGCGGCGGGATTTGTTCTAGTTTCGCGACAGATTTGCGAATTAGTTCTGGGCGCGCTTCGCCAGAATCAAAGTGGATCTCCAGCAATCCTTTTGGGGATTAATATATTTGGAAAACGTGTTCCTTCCAAATATTTGTACGAAGTAAGTTTCAAGTTGGCTCTGACAAAGTTAAGTTGTGTTTGGATAAGTACAGGATTTAGTAATAGGTTTAAAGGGAACTTGCCAAAATACAATATATAGATACTGAATATTTTCAAGGTGAAGTTCGGAATATAATATTATAAGATATTGGTATTGCAGAGTTGACATTTATCAGTAGTTCCCGACGACATGTGCAACTCATGTGGCAAACGGGAATGCATCCTTTGAGATCAAACCGTTGCCGACTTTACTTTGCTACCGAAACGGACTCTATGGAGGGGTTTTCGATTGGAATTGGGTTGGCAGTGGACCGGCACTGGACCCCGACTACAATAACAAGGAAGTACAAGTGGTTTTGTTTAATGTTTTATGGCATGTTTTGCTAGAACAATTGAACAAATACACGAGGACAGCGGATAGATCGGGCGAAAGTCAAGTAGACACAATGAAGACGTCAGCGCTGTGGGTTATTACAGATGGAAGGAGGGAAGGAGTGGTAGAGAGAGGGGGCGAATACTTGTCGGCGGCACTGTGCGTTTGATATCTTAGACAACTTGACAAAACAATCAAAGCAGCAACAACACATGTTCCAAATGACTGTCTATTAATTTGCTCCCTTCTCCCGTTTTGTTTTTTGCCCAAAACCAGAAAAATAAGTGAACAAAACAATGGTTGAAATGGTAAAAAAAAAGTAGGCAGCGCACTTTTAACGCAGTAGTCCAATTGCCGATGATAATGATGCACTCAGAGGAGTCGGCGAAGTTGAAAGCGAGCGAAAGAGACGGGGATAGCGGTGGAAGAAGAAAAAAGTAGGCGGTCAACAATTGTCGGGGCGGCAGGTTCAGTTACTATTCTTTCTTCTGCGGAGCGTTTCTTTCTTTCTAAGCGAGGGATAAACGAAGATTTGAACGCCTCGATTTTCTTTGCGGCTTCTCCTTTCCCTCTATCTCTTTCTCTTTCCCTCTTTTCTTTTTTTGGCCGAGACACTAATTGAGTTGGAAACTTGTGTAGTTTTTCTTTTTTGCAAGTCTCCGGAGGAGATGAAAGGCCTTCCGCCGACTTTGACTCCGACTTTTCCCCGGTGAGTGCATAATTTTGACAGCCGCGACAAAACTAATTGATTTGTGAATTCCCTAATCCCCATCGAAAATCCACAAATCCAGGGACACACACGTTGCAGATATGTATTTAAACATGGCAGGGTAAAATGGGTAATTAGATTATCAGGTCCCATTTGAAGGGGGTATTTGTGGGGTACTAGATCAATACTTATATTATCCTACATTTTTAGATACTTTAGGATTGGTTTTAAATCGCTGTAAATAAGATACCATTTCCCTTGACTTTGAATTTGACTTCGAGGTTCCTCCACTGGGAAGATAATGCTCCGGAGCGAATCAATCTGCGATTTGCGATCCTTGAACGCTCACCTTGGCCAAAATCGAGCGTGGAGCAGAGCAGACCGAGAGCATGTGGTCGCTGATTGGGTGATCAGGACGCGATCAGGACCCGCTGGCTCGCATTATGGTTTCATTGCCAAAACCACACTTAGGCGTTTCCTTGGCCAGCTTCACGCTTCGAGCGAGCGCTACGCCTGCCTCATTACGGCTAAAGGAAAAACTATGGAAAAACTATGGAAAAACTAAGGAAAACTGGGGAAGAATCAGGCAAACTGTGGAGTGCATAAGCGAATTCCAAGTAGACACCGTGGCCACAGACAATGTGCATGTAATTTTCAATTAACGCCACAAGATTTCCCTCCTCCAGGACTTTCGCCCGGTTTCGTTCCACCGTGGGTGAGCATTGAGTCTCATAATTGATCGTAATGTGCGATGTTCCCTTTGAGGTCCTGCTGTCAACAGGACTCGCTGCGCTGCGCTCCTCGGAGACTGTCACATGGGCATCACAGGGACATCAGCAGGATGTCCTTCTAAGCGGCATTTGTCGCGCTCAGCGAGTCGTCTCCCCGCCTCGCACTTTGCCTTTCAGCCATTCAGCCATTGTCCTGTCGACAGGACATTCGGGCCCGGCCGACAGGACGACTTTATGGCCCGAACAATGGCCATGATCGATCTACAGTTGCATGTCCGAAAAAGTCTGCCTGATTTCTGATTTTTTATGCATCCCGATCGCCGGGTCCTGTCGCTAATCAGGTCCTTTCCCTCGGGTTTTTCGGCATAAGTCTCCTCCGTTTATTGATAAGTCCGGTGTCAATCCCAGATTTTGAATGAATCCCGCTACTCAGCTTAGGTACTTGGCCGGACTTAAGTTTATACTGCCTTTACGATCTGGTTTCCCTTTTACGGCTGCCAAATCCACGCTCCCAGGTAGTGCGAAAATGCACAAGTTTATTGGCGGCTAGGTACACAAAAAATATTTAACACCTCGTTGTAAAAGAACCATAAATATATACCTTTGCAAAGGCAGTACTTTTTAACAATGAAAAGTAAAGTAAGGGGTTGAATAAACTAGGGAGTAGAATAATAAATTAATTTTTAAAACATTTCATGTTTCTTAAAGTTATAACAACAATTAACAACCCCTTAAACACTCTTAAATTTCATTTCTCTTGAAAGATATTGTCATAAATAAGATTGTCAGAAGTAATATTCCAGCGTTTAAAATCCTGGCTGTTAAGAGCCACCACCTCCAACTTTCCTCCTCCTCGAAGGCGGCCGAATGCGTTTCATTTCCCAACCATATGTGAGTCAAAGTTCCACTTAAGCGGAGTCGCCTCCCCCATGTGGCAGCAGCTGGAGAACCTCCTCTGACAACTTTATAGCCTAACGAGCTCGAAGGACCTCCGAGCGTACAGTCGACACCCGCTGTAATCGATCGGTTCCACATCGATCGGAGGCACATAAAAAATATTTCGCATCCTTCGTGGGCGACTGCGACACATTGATTAAGTTGTCCGTGCGGTTGGGATCGGCATTGCCAGACAGGATGCAGGGGAAGGATAGCGAAGGATATCGCCCGCTATACTAGATCGAGTCACAAAGGGCAACTGGTTGCCAGTTTTCCAGTTTTCCCAGTGCAGCTTGCCAGCCAGAACTAAGTTGATTCGTCACGCAGATTTCGATACATTAAATGCAATCATTTGACAACAGGACGAAAATATTTTCATCCATTGTGTCCTAACAACTGGCTTGCGATTGTGTGTGTGCGATGGTATCCTTACTATACCATATCTTACTACACCATTTGCAGGTTTCCACGGCAGTGGACTGCGGACTCCCCCCCAAAGCGAAGCAAATCGTGATGAGGATGAGGATCTATAGAGGATCTATAGAGGATCTGTAGAGGGATATATACCTCTCCCTTTTTGCCGGGCGTGTGAAATCGGGGAACAACGCCTGGGAGCTGGCGATAATTGCTCGTTAGTAGCTGCACCATGTCGGTTTTCGATTCCGACTCTTCTCTATTCTATTCCCCTAAAATTCGGATTAAGACGTCAGTATCAAGGGATGACTGTACCTTGTTTCAATATACTGATTAATTTTATTCTGTTATATTTTTACTTCTTAATCTGCCTTTTCGATTTGAGTTCCATTAACAGCTTATAAGTACTTGATGTTCGATCCAATCTCTTTGTTGATCCACATGTCTGCTGTACTTCTCACCTTTGGGATCATAATATATAATCCTATGGGTATCCCCACTGATCTTCCCATATCGATTACTATTTCCTCGAATGTCCATTAACCCGATTGTGCCAAATGTGACAAAATAATCCACGAAAAGTAGCCAAAAGAAGCCGACTTCTATTCCCTTTGATACAAATATATCACTGCATCATCACCGCCGTGATTTTCGTCTAATCCTGTGATTTTGTGCCTGCAACAAAGATGTGACAACATAATCAAGGCGATCGGCGAAGATCAGAGTGGCCGCACATATCCTTTGAGGAGGAGAGGGAGGAGCACCGGCCAGAAGGACCAAAAGGACACTCATTGTGTGCAACGTGCCGAAAGGTGGAAATAAGATGTCACCTGAAAAATGCAAGGAGCAGCCTTTCAAAGGAGCAGCCGTTCGGATCCCGACTTTGAAGCCATTGTTTTAGGAACATTTTATCACATTGTCATTGCGGGTAGACCAAAAATATATGTCTGCACATATATATAGAAAAAAACAGCCGCCGCCGCCAAGAAATGTCTCAATTATTCCTTGTTTTCGGCCTTTGGCTTTGACTTTTATTCTATTCGGCCGACTTTGAGCCACGCCCCTAGGAAAATATCGGGGAGAGGGAATGAGTGCACGTTGCCCGCAGCGGGAGTCCTTGATTTATGCCTCGGCGATCCTTGATCCTGGCCGGGGACGCAATCAAAGGAGGAATTCGAACAATATGTAATCACCACAAATGACGGCAGCGCGTGCAAAATGTTTGAGGAACATTCAAGCGAGGATCGCCCCAACCGCTCCGTAAAAAGGAAAGTAAACCAAACCAACACACAATTAAAACGTCAAAAGGAGACTCTCCTCTAAGCGGATCGCCTTTAATGGTCTTAAAAATCGATTCCTTTCTGGCCTTATTGAAATGAGCAGCCGTTGGGTTCTTTGTGTTTTGGCCTGGACGTGTTAACACAGCAATTAACTTTTACAAGGGCCGCTAAGGAGCAGGAATTTATGTTCGATTTATGCAGCAACAGGATGTGAGGGATCTAAAAGGAGATCCAACAGCTGGCAGATGCGGTGACCAGTGGTTGAGAAGGATCCCGATCCCGAGATGATCGGTTTACGGACATTTTGGAATGTGCTTCGCATTCAGGTGCGAAGATCAAAGGAAGTCAAGCAAAAAACCACCTTTCCTTTGAGAAGAGAAGGTAATATCTTGATAAATTTGAATAATATAATGCTCCGAATTAGTCAACTATTTATAGAGTTACAAACAAAAGAAGTAATTTATTCAAGAGCTTGCCATTAAGTTGATCATGTTTCCCTCTTCCAATTAAACTACTTCCTTCCGTGAAAGTGTGTCACTCCATTCATGGCTCACTTGGTCGTCTGTGGGACAACTTGCCCGGGTTGTAACCATAAAAAAGTCAGATCACACCTCGCTGACATAATGACAAGATGGGAAATGCGTTCGTCTCTTGCCGCGACGTCAATTCGATGACACTTTCTCATTAACACAAACAGGCGCAGGCGGTCAAAATTCGCTGACGTTTCGAGGCGCCTGCCTAACTCCGAGCTAATGTCTTCTGGATCGGGGGAAATCCGATACACCCGAGGAAAATAGGTATGCAAAGGTACACAGGGAAAAACAGATTGAGGTTGCTACTAAAATACAAATAATATATATTGCTAATATATATTGTAAATTACTGAAACAAACCACGTTTCATTTATAGTTTATCAGAATAGTAAATATTACTCAGTAGTATAGAAAACCCCATCATTTCTTCCAGTGTAGACAGGACTGGGGACGGGAAACACATGCGGCAAGTGAAGTGTTTAGGCGTGGACGTGGCAACATCGCGTACCGAAAAGGAAACAAAAAGTAGGCAGTGCCGTCGATGTGTTCAAAAGTCGGTTAATTACAAAAAAAGATGGAAACATCCACACATCGAAATGGAAAAGGAGACACACACTTGAGGCTGACTGACTCACTCGGATTTCATGCGGCAAGTCAAGGAAGGAATCGAGGCAGATCGAAGATGAACGTGCAACATCAAAGGCCGCCAGCGACTTGTATGTTTTCATAGCTTCAAATTGGAAAATGTCTTGGCATCGAAAATATTTGGTTATCATTGGGTAAATATGCGAGGGATAACAAGGAGGTGGGCCAAAGGGAAAGGGAAACATGTGGAGCCAAAGGGAGGAACTTGGGAACGTTCTTGGGTAAATACGAGGAATACAAGGAATAATTGCTCCTTGCACTTGGAAAAACATTTTAGATAAACCTGCAAAATAAGCGATTGATAGAAATATTAAATGATAGAAATACTAAATGAAATTGCAATGAATAAATGAACAGCATTTATAAGACGAATCCTCAGTGAATGTAGAATATCTAGAAGTGCCACAAGTCAAAGGTGTTTTTTGCCAAAGGACCAACTGGCAACTCAGGTGCTGTTTTGATTTTGGAAAGCGACTTGCCGCTGTCCTTCCATCCCGTTGCCCGCTGGCAGTTTCGGAAGGTTAGTGTTAAATGCCGGCGATTTGCACCAGCAGCGCACCGGAGGAGGCGCAAATCGGAAAGGGAATATAAATAGGAACCAGATTCAGGATAGGAGTCCGCAGTCAGGGGGGATCCACGCGGCAGGATGCGCCTGCCTGCGAGATGATGAGCCTCGAGTAGGAACCTCGAGATAAAGGACTCAAATACAGGACTCGAATGCACCCGCTGACTTTGACATCCCGACGACAGCAAGCAGGCCAAACTCAGCTGCTGCTGCTGTTGCTGTGGCTGTTGCTGCCTCGAGGTTCGTCCTTGGACTGGCAACAGAGTGTCCTTGAGCCGACGAGGCGATGGGATGTGGCCAACGTAAATGGCATATTTTGGCCTCTCCTGGTTAACCGTACGCATTTCTGCCAGAAACTTTGGGATCTACGCAAAATTGTGGCCATACAGCGACCTTCGGCTGGAGTCCTTCGGAGGTCCTGTCGCGATGTTTGGTCACAGTCACGATATGTTAACTAATCTCAAGTTTGGTGTTTAATATCCTCGGTTTTGGTTGACTTCGCAAGGTCGAATGGAATGTCCTTGACTAACAGATACATTTGGCTTGCTATTATTTTGTAAAATGAATATGTATTGGATATCATTTTTGAGGTATAAAAACTTATTTATTGCATATATAACTATCGATTTAGGGAATATGGGTCAATGACTTGAACTTAAACGGAATATCGATGCATAGTATCCCGTTGCGAGTCCTGAAAACGGCTATCGTCCAATCTCAAATTTCGCGTTCTGCAAACTCAGGCTGTTCGGAATCCAGATTTCCGTATTTCTGCGATATTTTCACGGCTCAGTGGCCCTCGAAACAATCAAACTAATGGGACACCGCAGAACTGAAGGCAGGGAAAACTGTGTGTGCAAGCCTCTTGTGTTGGTCAAATTCACTTCCACTTGATTACGTGCAAAGCTCAAATCTGCTGCGGAAACCATTTAATCGGAATTAATGCTCGAACAAAACATGCGAAAACTATCGCTCTCCACTGGAATCGAATGCTTTTTGCGTTTTGCGAGGCGGGGAATCCTTCGACTCAAACAAATATAAATTTCTTTTGATTTTAAACTCGGTTTGGTTTCGGTTTTGGTTTTGGCTTTGGTTTTGTTTCGGGGAACACAAATGTCGAAATATTCAGATTGGCGAAAAGGTAGAGCAGGGCGTGTGCAGGCTTAGCGGGTAGCTCGCGGATATATCCCCAGGATAACTATGCTGTACCATATAATATATATTTCAAGGAGGGGAGGCACCACTGCAAGCCAAAATAAAGCGGGAGAACTCCTTAATTAGTTTGGTGGTTAGAGTGTGATGTTTCGTGACTGAAACAAGCCATTGTGTAAAAACACTAAAAAATAAAATTGTGGAAATTTATTAGAGAAGAACTAGAGAAGATATTGATCTGTATGATAAAAACGAACCCGTTTGCACAATCATTTAGTAATGAGTGCTTTATGTTATCAAGGAATTACTCCCCATCTCCTCTGTTATTATGCCTCATTATCCCCCACATAATGTCCTTTTTACAGGGGTAAGTAAATCAGATTGCTGTCGCCACTTGTACGTCGCCGCATCGCACTTAAAACCCAGACACGGGGACAAAAGTGGCACGAGGCAAGGAGGTTCCCCCTGTCCCCTCTCCCTTTTTTATAGCCCGCCGTATGTACATGTTTTAAAACTATATAGAAAACATCCTTTTGGCAGGACACGGACTCAGAAGCAAGTAAAAAACTGACAGAGAACAGAGAACAGCACGTGACAATTGCGTCAACAGATTTTTCGCTGAGATGAGCACAAAATTGTTAGCAACAATAAAACAACAAAATAAAGCAACAAAAAACGTGAGCAGAGAATGGGAAGAGTGTCGCAGGAAACAGGGGCGTTGAGGCCAAGGGGGCGGGGCTGTAGTTGTTGCTATTGACAATATTTATGCAGCAGCAGCACCAACAGCAAAATGGGAGGAGGGGGTCAGCGGGAAAAACGGGGGGTTTTCCAAGCCCCAAGGGCGAATTTCTTCTTTGCTCTGTTTGTTTTTGCATTTGGCTACATTTTGCAGCTTTTGTTTTATAATTTGTGCCCGCAAGGCGACAAACTCGAGGAGGCAACAAAAAAACAATGGAAATTAAAAAAGGAAAACAAGTTGGATTTTTGCAAGGGGTGTCGCTTGATAAATATCCTTAAATTTAATAAATAATAAATGTTTAGATTACCTATTGATAAATATCCTTAAATTTAATGAATAGTAAATGTTGAGATTACCTTTAAATCGTAGCAATAAAGAAAAATGAATTTGAAACTTCTTCTGATTAACCAAACTCCTTGTAATAAAGAGTACTAGAAACGCATAATCTTCAAGGGCTGTTCCATATAAATTACTATATTATTATTATTATTATTAAAGTACCCAATATACCCTCTGTTTGCGAGGGTATCTGAAGCTCTCTTCAGCGATCGAACCGCTCTTGATGAGGCTCCTCTCCGCTTCCTCTTTTCGCAGCGGCAAAGAACTCGAGTCTGCGGTAGGTTGTTCCTGCTCCAGCTCTGCGTTCGTGGTCCTTGGTCCTCCGCTCCGGATCCGTGTGGCTGGAAGGCGGTTTCGCCAGGGCTGCACTTGTTTGCCAGCTTCCGAGGGGGATGAGGATGGAGCAGGATGGCGGGGGGAGGACTCACAGCACCGCAGTACGTGACGAAGAACAAAAGAAGGCACTTGGGCACTTGCATGTTTCCTGCCTTCCTCGCGGGGAAAGGGGAGGTCCTTGCGCCTGGGTTGTGTTTTTTACGGAAACTTACTTGCTGCTGCTGCTTTTGTTGTATCCACAAAAAAGCACGCTTATGATAATAATGGCATTATGTATTGTACACCATGTAATAACGCACGAAATGTTGACAGCCGCAGTCTTTTTTGCTGCCTCTTTTTGTTGCGCAAACTTTTTTAACGAGGTAAAATCGCTAGAGGAAGCAAGTGAAGTAAAGTTTCCAAAAATAATATACTTTTATCAAGGTGGTATCTAGAGAGACAATCGCAGATCTATATCCCGTAAGGATTTTCAGAATTCTTTTCCAAAAAGCAACCATCACAATTCGATTAACACCGGCAGGTTAATTCTTTTACTATTCCGGCAAAAGCAAATATTGACTTTCCATATTTGCAAAAAACATTTGAGAACCACAAAAGACTTGCGTATTTATTTATACTGAATTTGAGAAAACCATAAACCAAAAACAAACAAAAATCGCTTGGTAGCTCGCAAAATAAACACACAGAAAATAATCCAAAGAGCGAGAGTCAGGTAGCATTGCATCTCCATGGGATCAACTAGGATGGGATGGAACAGATCACCAGTTCTGGTGGGCAGCTGGTGGGCGTTACTAATGTGTGAGCCAAAAAGCAAACAATTTGCATTTCCCCTTAATGAAAAAACAATATTTATATGCACTGCAATTGAGAGAGTTGAATTGAAGGAAAGAATTTCAGAATGAAACATCTGGAAATGTTTGGGATTATATTTATACCCTTGCAGAGCAAAGGGTATTATAATTTCAGTCAGAAGTCAGACCCCATAAAGTATATATATTCTTGGTCAGCATCACCATCTGAATCCAAATAAGTCTGTACGTCTGTCTGCCTGCTAACATACCTTTTCGCTGCAAAAGGCACAGACAAGTCGGTCTGCCTGCCCAACCAACTCTATAACAAACAACAACTTTATACATTTAATGCCTTGGTGCCAGTTTAATTAATAAATGCAATTAATTAACTAACTTTTGTGCACTTCATTTTACTTGGGCACCGCCAAGGTAATGGTCAGTGAAGAAGCTCACAGACCCGGGGGGCCCTTTGGAGCGATTTTGGGGGCATCTTTTGGTGGTGACTTCAGTGCGTCTCCCAAGTTAGCCACAGCCAGAACAGCGACAACAACCAACCACATTGACTTCATGATTACCAATTTTGAATGATGAAAGTCCAGAGCTGGAGGAGAATAAATAGGTTTCTCCAAAGGTTAAGCGAATCTAAGCCAATTGGATTTAAATTTCCAATGACATGCATGAAAATCCATAGATAAAAACGTTTGCTATGCATTTTTATTTTTTTTAATTTTTAAAACACCAAACTTTAGTAGTTTGTTATGCAATGTTATTTTTATACCCTTGCAGAGCAAAAGAGTATTATAATTTCAGTCAGAAGTTTGCAACACAGTGAAGGAGACACCTCAGACCCCATAAAGCATATATATTCTTGATCAGCATCACGAGCAGAATCGGAGTACGTCTGTACGTCTGTCCGTTTCTCCTCAAACTAGTCTCTCGGTTCTAAAGCAATCTTGCTGAAACTTTCCCAAAAGGTGTGTAGCTATTGCACGCAGTATATAAGTCGGAACGAGCCGGATCGGCCGACTATATCGGATAGCTCCCATACGAGGGAATGAAATAAAAACTTCTCACCCCGTTGTTTTTGATCAGATCGACTTGATTTCTTTCAGATGACGTTTTCTAACCACTATTGAATTTCGGATTAAATTTGATCAAAATCGGATAACTCTATCATAAAATAAAAATAAAATGCATAGCAAACGTTTTTATCTATGGATTTTCATGCATGTTATTGGAAATTTGAATCCGATTGGCTTAGATTCGCTTAACCTTTGCGGAAACCTATTTATTCTCCCTCAGCTCAGGATTTTCATCATTCAAAAATGGTAATCATGAAGTCAATGTGGTTGGTTGTTGTCGCTGTTCTGGCTGTGGCTAACTTGGGAGACGCACTGAAAAGTCCACCAAAAGATGCCCCCAAAATCGGTCCAAAGGGCCCCCCGGGTCTGTGAGCTTCTTCACTGACCATTACCTTGGCGGTGCCCAAGTAAAATGAAGTGCACAAAAGTTAGTTAACAAATTCAATTTATTAATTAAACTGGCACCAAGGCATTAAATGTATAAAGTTGTTGTTTGTTATAGAGTTGGTTGGGCAGGCAGACCGACTTGTCTGTGCTTTAGACGAAAGTATATAACGCGAAGGAACTGGAAGGCGATCAGCGAACGTGCCTTCTGTATGCGAGTACCAAAACGAACTATATAGCAGCTTGCCGTGGATAAAGGCCTGGTCCTTTAAGCAAGGTGCAAAAGGGAGTTAGCAATGACAATTAAACAGTGCAGGGCAAATAGCAAAACAAAGGCAAACATCGAGAATCCTACGTCAGGATTTGAAAATTAGCGATTTGATTTAGGCTGCGGCATGACCAAACTGGGTCCGTAATGGTTTGAAAAATAATCTTTGCCTGTGAAAGTAGTACGATTTTGCGGAGACCAAATTTGACTGCTGACGAGTTTTGACAAAATTAATAAAATGTAATCAAACAAAACAAAAAAGGCAGCTAGATTCGGCAAGCCGAAGCTTATATACCCTTGCAGTCATCAAATTTGTCAAACCAAATAAATAAAGGCAAAGCATCATCGAAGTTATGACGATTTTTGTATTAATTTTCCATATTTTCGACTATAGTTCATACGGCAGCTATATACAACTATATCAGTTGTCCGATTTTGATAGAATTTAATTCGTAGTTCAAGAGACGTTAGAGAACTCTTTTTTCCTAAAATGTTGCTTGTCTGATGAAAAACAACGATGTTATTATTTTATTTCTGTATAGATTTTTCTATCTTTCCTATGGCAGCTATAACGTTGTCGGATTTTAATGAAATTTTTTTCTCGATTCGAGGGTTATAAAAAAATCCATATTTGGAAAATCATGCTCGTGGGATTAAAAACAATGATGTTTTAATTTTCGTTATTTCTATATAGATTTTTCCTATGGCAGCTATATGATAGAGTTATCCGATTTTGATAAAATTTAATCCGAAATTCAATAGTAGTTAGAAAACGCCATCTGAATGAAATCAAGTCGATCTGATAAAGAACAACGGTGTGAGAAATTTTTATTTCATTCCCTCGTATGGGAGCTATCCGATATAGTCGGCCGATCCGGCTCGTTCCGACAAGTCAACCTGCCTGCCCAACATACCCTTTCGCTGCAAAATGCACAGACAAGTCGGTCCGCCTGCCCAACCAACTCTACAACAAACAACAACTTTAAACATTTAAGGCCTTGGTGCCAGTGCAATTTATTAACTGCACATTATTTTATTTGGGCACCGCCAAGGAGCTTGAAAAAGCTCACAGACCCGGGGGGCCCTTTGGAGCGATTTTGGGGGCATCATTTGGTGGACTTTTCAGTGCGTCTCCCAAGTTAGCCACAGCCAGAACAGCGACAACAACCAACCACATTGACTTCATGATTACCATTTTTGAATGATGAAAATCCAGAGCTGAAGGAGAATAAATAGGTTTCCCCAAAGGTTAAGCGAATCTAAGCCAATCGATATTAAATTTCCAATAACATGCATGCATCCATAGATAAAAACGTTTGCTATGCATTTTTACTTTTTTTTCTAATTTTTAAAATACCAAACTTTAGTAGTTTGTTATGTAATGATATTTTTAAATGTTATTTTTAAAGTGTATCAATTTAGGTTTCGGCATGCCGAACTACAACTAGTTAATTCACATAGTTTTAAAGCCAATATAACCTTTAAATACATGCTAATCATTATGTTTCTTCTTTCGAAATAAAACATCATAAAACTAAATATTAAGCTGTTGCCATATTGGAAGACCCCTAAATTAGGTTTCCCCGTCTCCCAAGGAGCCAATTGGTTGGAACATAAAGTCGAACAACAAACAGAGCCATAAACATTCCCATTACAAATTAACACTTCATATATATTCCGCATTCTGAAGTGGCACATAATCCAAGCCGCTCCCCCCAGTTTCCCCGATTCCCCCTCGAATCTTCGGAGCGTCTCCAACTCCATATGGCCGCAAACAGGAAGCTAATCCTGCTCAGTGATATATCAACATATTTATGGTAAACGGATCAGAGGGCTTAGGCCCGCAAATTGGAGGGGAGAAGGGGGAGAAGGGAGAGGGGAGCGTCCATATGTTCCCCCCAGGAATTTATGGGAGCGACTTCAAGTGGCGACTAACCGCAAACCTCCATAAAATTTTATGGACACTCTTTCGACAATTTAATGTGACGAGCGACGGCTGCTTGGCACTTCGCCGCAGACTATTATTGTTTAATAAACAATTATTAGACAATCCACAATTTTTTCCAGCTTGCAGCTTTGATCTTCGATTGAAACACATTGACTCACTGAAACAGAAGTAAAAATAAATACCAACTCTGCTCTGTTTAGATCGAATCGGGTAATTACGCACACGAATTCCCATGAATCATAACAATAACAATTGAATCCCGGGAGGAATCCGTCAAGAAGCACCTTAAACCATCCGATTGACAAGTCGCACGGGGGAGGAGTTTTGAGATTCGAAAATAATGCACTTTGATGTTTGACGCACTCCAATTCAAGAGATTCATAACAAACGATTGGAAAATGATATGTGTATATCATCCTTTTCTTAAAGCTCTTTTCTTTTAGTATGGTGAAATATATTTATTTTAAACTGTAAGTATTGTTAAAGTGATAAGGTCCCTATTCAAATTGCGCGGCAGGCTTAGGATGGACTGCTTGCTTTGAAGGACAATGCACTGCGTACTAAAAGTGGTGTGTGCCCTCGCTAGCTGGACGGTGCCCTTACTATTAACAAACTAAAAGAATACAGCACATTTCTAATATCCCTATTCCTATTCACCCATATTTTACATTTAAGGATATTGTAGGTTTTATTATTATAATTATTATTTTAATTGCTTTAGTACTAATTAGACCAAATTTATTAGGAGATCCAGATAATTTTATCCCAGCTAATCCTTTAGTTACTCTAGCTCATATTCAACCCAAATGATATTTTTTTATTTGCTTATGATATTTTACGTTCAATTCCTAACAAATTAGGAGGAGTAATTGCCTTAGTATTTCAATTTTAATAATTTTACCATTTTATAACTTAAGAAAATTTCGAGGTATTCAATTTTATCCTATTAATCAAATTTTATTTTGATTAGTAACTGTAATTGTATTAACATGAATTGGAGCACGGCCAGTTGAAGAGTCTTATGTATTAATTGGACAAATTTTAACAGTTATTTATTTTTTATATTTTTTAATTAACCCTTTAGTTACTAAATGATGAGATAATTTATTAAATTAATTAGTTAATGAGCTTGAACAAGCATATGTTTTGAAAACATAAGATAGAATTTAATTTTCTATTAACTTTACTAAAAACAAGGAAGGAAGCAAGGTTTGGCAAGCCGAAGCTTATATACCCTTGCAGTCATCAAATATGTCGAACAAAATGCAGAAAGGCTAAATAACATTGGAGCTAAGACGATTTTTCTATTCATTTTCCATATTTTCGACTATCATATGGGAGCTATACGATATAGTTGTCCTATCTTGATCAAATCAACGATGTTATAATTGTATTTCCCGTATTTCTATACAGATCTTTCGATCTTTCCTATGGCAGCTATATGATGACGTTGTCGGATTTCAATGAAATTTTTTTTCTTGATTCAAGGGTTATTATCTATGGGTTTTCATGCATGTTATTGGAAATTTAAATCCAATTGGCTTAGATTCGCTTAAATTTAAATCCGATTGGCTTAGATTCGCTTAACCTTTGGGGAAACCTATTTATTCTCCCTCAGCTCTGGATTTTCATCATTCAAAAATGGTAATCATGAAGTCAATGTGGTTGGTTGTTGTCGCTGTTCTGGCTGTGGCTAACTTGGGAGACGCACTGAAGTCACCACCAAAAGATGCCCCCAAAATCGGTCCAAAGGGCCCCCCGGGTCTGTGAGCTTCTTCACTGACCATTACCTTGGCGGTGCCCAAGTAAAATGAAGTGCACAAAAGTTAGTTAACAAATTCAATTTATTAATTAAACTGGCACCAAGGCATTAAATGTATAAAGTTGTTGTTTGTTGTAGAGTTGGTTGGGCAGGCAGACCGACTTGTCTGTGCTTTAGACGAAAGTATATAACGCGAAGGAACTGGAAGGCGATCAGCGAACGTGCCTTCTGTATGCGAGTACCAAATCGAACTATATAGCAGCTTGCCGTGGATAAAGGCCTGGTCCTTTAAGCAAGGTGCAAAAGGGAGTTAGCAATAACAATTAAACAGTGCAGGGCAAATAGCAAAACAAAGGCAAACATCGAGAATCCTACGTCAGGATTTGAAAATTAGCGATTTGATTTAGGCTGCGGCATGACCAAACTGGGTCCGTAATGGTTTGAAAAATAATCTTTGCCTGTGAAAGTAGTATGTTTACGATTTTGCGGAGACCAAATTTGACTGCTGACGAGTTTTGACAAAATTAATAAAATGTAATCAAACAAAACAAAAAAGGTGGCTAGATTCGGCAAGCCGAAGCTTATATACCCTTGCAGTCATCCAATATGTCAAACCAAATAAATATGTTAAAGGCAAAGCATCATCGAAGTTATGACGATTTTTGTATTAATTTTCCATATTTTCGACTATAGTTCATACGGCAGCTATATGATATAGATGTCCGACTTTGACAGAATTTAATTCGTAGTTCAAGAGTCGTTAGAAAACCCTATATTCCTAAAATGGTGCTTGTCTGATGAAAAACAACGACGTTATTATTTTTATTATTATTATTATTATCTAATGCTAACTTATAGTTAAAAACTATAACCTAACAATGGTTTCATTTTTAGAGCTATAGCAGCAACAGGCCTTAAGCTCGCTTTTTGTAGTTTAGCAGTTGTGATTATTATTTTTATTGTATTTTACAGATTTTTTATATCTTATATAGTATGTTGCAATTATTAAGGAAAAGTATAATTTTCTGGGTGTTGATTAAATTAGGATTTGAGATACTGTGGAGAGGGTCTTGGGAGTTGAACAATGCAGTTCGTTGGAGAGTAAGGGCGGGACAAGAG